CTATTCCCATTTTACAGTTGAGGAAACTGAGGCTGACAGAAATTAACTGATTTGCCCAGGGTCACATAGGTAGGAAGTATCTGATGCTGAATTTGAGCTCAGATTCTCCTGAGCTGCCTGATTCCTGGCCCTGTATACATACTTTATATATAGTTTACGTGTACAATTCTTTTGTCTCTGCTATTAGAATGTAAGCTCTGAGGGCAGAGACCACGTTTTTGCCTTTGTATCCCTAAAGTCCCTAAATGTTTAGTACAGTGCCTGGCACACAATAAATACTTAATAGACAAAACAAAACAAAGCTGTGCATACCCTCTGATCCAGCAATTCACTGTTAGGTCTGTATCAAAGACATCCAGAGAAAGAACTGATATTGTTTGAAAACAGACTGAAGCATGCTATTTTTCACTTTCTTTCATTTTTTTCTTTTGTTCAAGTCTTCTCATACAAAATGACTAATATGGAAGTGTTTTACATAATTGCATATGTATAACCTATATCTGATTGCTTACCATCTCAGGGAGGGGGTAGGGATAGAATTTGGAACTCAACATTTTAAATAAAATATATATATAGATAGATAGATAGATAGATAGATAGATAGATAGATATAGATATATAGATATAGATATAGATATATTTGATCCTGGAGGTGATTGGGAGCCATTGGAGTTGAGTATAGGGGGTGATAGACCAGAACTTTAGGAAAATCACTTTGATGGCTCAGTTGAAGATGGCTTGAAGCATGGAGAGGCTGGTGGCAGGCAGACAAGCCTGCAGGCTACTGCAATAGTTCAGGCATGTTCACCTCATCGCTAATTCTCTCCAGAAATGCCCATCTTCAACTTAAAGCACTGCAAACCACCACCCTAAAGGATTTTAGGCTCTTTCCCAAGACTTCATGGTCCCTGAAGAAGCTTTATAGCAGAGGTTCTTAACTAGGGCTCCACGAACTTGTTGATTCTAAACTATACTTTCAAAATTTAGTGGCTTTTACTTTTTATTTTTATTTCCAAATATAGCCCTCCCCTGTCTCTTACTCAATGAACCATCCCTTCAAACAAAGATGAAAGAAACAGAAAATAAGCAATTTGGCAAAACCAGAAAAGCACCGACTATGTCTGATGGCATATGCCATGTTCCACACGCCAAGTTGCTCACTTCCTACAAGCATCATTTGCTAGTGCCTTATTGCACTATCCAGAAGGTTAACGTTTTCCTGGGCTTTTCTACAGGTATTTTTCTGAATAGATTACACTAGGGGGCCCAACCAGTAGATCAGGACCTTCCAGTCACTTGAGAAAGTTCTCTCTCCAAGTTGATTGCTTCCACCCCCCCTTCTTCTCTAAGCTATGTTTCCCCTCCCAGTTTTCCAGGATTCCCACCAGGAGGGGAGAGCAATGGACAGTGGCAACTCTTTCCCTCACAGACTATCATCACCATCTTTGGTGATCTCAAAGTTTCAAGGCTGTATGAGCAGATCCTCCTCAAAAAAGGCTAGGGGATGCCAAGACATCTCTTGGCCAGGATGACCTCTAAGATCTTTTCCAGCACTAGATCTATAGCCCTGTTGATGCTAATCACTGAATTCCTTAAAAAATATTTTAAATTATCATTTAACATTCTTTTCTTTTTAAATTTTGAGTTACAAATTCTCTCCCTCCTTTCTACCCCTCTTCTACCCACTGAGAAGGCAAGCAGTATCAAGTATACATGTGCAATCATGCAAAACATACTTCCATATTTTTTTAAAAGAAAAATAAAGAAAATCATACTTCATTTTGCACTCAAGAGTTCATCAGTGCTCTTTCTCGAGTTGGATAGCACTTTTTCATCATGAGCCCTTTGGAACTGTCTTGGATCACTGTATTGATCAGAATAGCCAAGTATTTCACAGTTGATCATCATTACAACATTGCTGTTACTATACACAGTGATCTTCTGGTTCTTCTCACTTCACTTTGTATCAGTTCATATAGGTCTTGCCACGTTTTTCTGAAACCACTCCCCTTGTCATAGTACTCCATCACTATCATATGCCACAGCTTATTCAGCCATTCCCCAACTGATGAGCATCCTCTCAATTTCCAATTCTTTACCACTTCAAAAAGAGCTACTATAGATATTTTTTGTACATATGTGTCTCTTTTGTACATACAAGGTAACTTTCCTTTTTCTTTGATCTCTTTGGGATACAGACCTAGTAGTGGTACTGCTGGGTCAAAGGTTCTGCAGTTTTATAGCTCTTTGGGCCTAGTTCCAAATTACCTATTTTTCCCTCATCCCTTCCAGCATCTGTCATTTCTGATAGGTGTGAGGTGGTAGCTCAGAGTTTGTTTTAATATGCATTTCTCTAATCAATAGTGATTTAGATATGAACTTTAAAAAATATTTTGATAACCACTTCAATAATTGCTTTTCTTTCTAATTCTATTTACTTTTATGCCTTTTCAAACATTCTGAGCAGTCTAGGACACACAAAGGGTTAAGAATCACTGCTTTATAGGTAGGTTTCTTCTGGAGGTATCAGTGATTCTCCCCACTTGAATCACCAGAAATGGGAGTCTGACAAATTTCAGGGAGTCAAGTTCAATTTCCTTATTAATGGAAACCGAGACCCACAGCGATTAAGTCATTAATACATCCCGGCTTGGCCAGTTAGTGGATGGCAGCATTGGTATGAGAGCCAATGTCTGGACTTCTGAGAAAAATGATTAATAACCAATGTTTTGGAGAGATCCACAGTTCTCCCCCTTTTCCAACAGCCGTCATTACAAGGCTCAGCAGGATAGGACTGATGATAGCAGATAGGATTAAAGTTCTCCTCAATCTATTTATTACTATCCCACCCAACCTTACAAGGAATTTAATCTAAGGTGAAACTCCCAGCCCTTTGTCTTCTGCTCAGACGTGGGTGAGGGATATGGATTCTTCCTCTAGATTTCTTCAGGCTGAAGGTAATTTAGAAGTAAATGAGAGGTCCACCTCTCATTCCTTGTTAACCAGAGTTGACTGCCACTCTTAGAACACTTCCAAGATTTCCAAGGGCACGTAAACTGTGAGCCCACTGCTATGCCTGGTCTTTGGCATTCGAGAGTGTCACTGACCCTCTTATTAATAAAATGCTAGCATTATTAATAAAATGATTAATTACCCAGAAACTATGTCTCTCAAACTTTTTAAACGTTATACTTCTTTCTAGTTTGGGACTTATTCTTCATAGTATTCTTGACTTCTCTTTATGGTGTATATTATACACACTTTTACTGAAAAACCTGGAATCTACAAAACGCTAGGAGGAAAAACTGCCCAGGGCCAGAAGTCAAAAACAACCAACACTACTCCTGTAAACATAAAGGGTAGTCAAGCTTTCTCTCAAAAGGCGTGCACAGGGGGCAGCTAGGTGGCACAGTAGATAAAGCACCAGCCTTGGAGTCAGGAGGACCCAAGTTCAAATCCAGTTTCAGACCAGACACTTGACATTTACCAGCTGTGTGACCTTGGGCAAGTCATTTAATCCCAACTGCCTAAAGGTTAAAAAAAAAAAAAAGAAAGAAAAAAAAAAAAAAAGAAAGAAAAGAAAAAAAGGGGGGGGGTGCACCTAGGGCATTCACTAATGGAATTTAACATTCCATGACATGTATTCTAGTATTTTTGTCATTAAAAATTTGGTCCTTTGAGAAACAGCTTTCTCTGAAAAATGTGAGTAGGAGAAAAAAGTGAGTTGATGCTTTCTGTTCAGTAGGTAACTGAGATCACTAGTTATCCACTTTAAAACTGTAATTTCTGGGGCAGGTAGGTGGCGCAATGGATAGAGTACTGGCCCTGAAGTCAGGAGGACCCAAGTTCAAATTCGGCCTCAGATACTTGACACTTACTAGCTACGTGACCCTGGGCAAGTCACTTAACCCCACTGTCTAGCCAAACAAACAAACTGTAATTTCCTCTTTCTGTGTCGTGGTACGATGGAAAGAGGCCTGTGAGTGTGAGAACAAATCAAATACAAGCTTTGTTAATTATTACCCATGTGGCCTTTGGCAAGTCACCTACCTCACCTCTGCACCTTAGTTTCTTCACCTGTCAAAGGAGGAAGATGGACTAAATTGTCCTCCAAAGCCCCTACCTGCTCTAAATCTACGAGCCTATGTGTGCCACAAGGGGCTGTCAAATGCAGCCCAGCAGAGGAATTAGAAGTGATTAATAGGCTATAGCGATTTCTGAGACACTTATCTAAGAGGCTCATTTTATTCTTGCCTTTAATAATAGCTAACATTTATATGATGTTTTAAAGTTTGCAAAGCACTTTACATGTTAGCTCATTTGATCCGCACGATGACCCTGTGAGATAGGTGCTATAATTATGCCCATTTTACAGATGAATAAAAATGAGGCTAGGTGATTTGTTCAGGGTCATACTAGTAAGTATCTGAAATAGAATTTGGACTCAGTCTTCCTAACTTTAAGCCCGATGCTCTATTCACTGCACTAACCTAGCTGTCCCTATGTTTGTTTGGGTTTTTTTTTGGATGATCCCCTTTACAATTTAAGAGAAATTTAAGTCAAACAAATTAGAAGAGATTATGTAGGTCATGTTTAGGAATTAGGCCTTTTTTAAAAAAAAAAAAGAAAAAGAAAAAGAAAAAACCCATCTATTTTGAGAAGCTGACATTTTAAATTGAATAAATTAAATGTTTTACCATAGCTGGCTGTCTGAATATTACTTTCCTCAAGGTCTGGCTTGAGTCTCCTGCCCTTCATGATTAACTCGGCTTGCAGGGATCTCTCTCCTCCTAGAGAACTGGGCTGTGTCTGTTGTCTCCAACTAGATTAAGCTCCTTCAAGGTCAGATGCTACACCTTATTTTTTATTGTATACTCCTCGAAGCCCAGCACAGTGACTAGCATGTAGTACTAAGTAGGATATCAGCATCATTCCCCCCACATTTTTATCTGTGGACAAAATTGGGAAGAAGGAAAAAAAAAGTGACACATTTACACGGATTGGAAGACTTCATAAAGCATCGAGCAATTTAATGGGCATAAAGAGATTGACAAAATTTTGATAGAACTAATGCAAATTCCAGCATAGTTTTCTCTTACCACCATAAAGATTTAGAATGGAGAAAAATTCCCACAAACTTTACTGTAACAAAAATTAACTGCAATAGATTAACTGTATGTCTTACTTAAGATTTAGAATGGAAGAAAAATACCCACACGAACTTTACTGTAACAAAAAATAACTGCAATAGGTAACTGTATGTTTTACTCAGGTTTATACCCTAGGACCTTTTATGTAATGGATAGGTAATGAACAACGTGGCAACACTATTCAAGAGATCTCAAGGCATTTAATCAAACACGATCCGGTAGTTGCGTTCCTGCTCCTTGCGACGACTCTCGCAAACCTTTGATACCTCTTCCACCTTCCGCTGCAACAGGGCTGTGGGGAAACACATGATGCAATCATTTTTCTAGGGCAAAAGGTACAGAACTTCAGAGTCGGAAGGAACCTTAGCAGTCAGCTCATCTAACCCATAATTAAGAAAGAGTCCCCTCTACAATATACTCATCCAGTGTTTGCTCAAAAACGTTCAATGAGAGGGAAGTTCAATTTGAAGCTTCCAAGGTGGTTCCTTCCATTCTGAAATAACTCTACTCGTTACTTCCTTATATCAAGTCTCTGTCTGTCTATTGGTCATTACTTCTGGTTCTGCCCTCTGCAGCTAAGAACAAGAAGTGTAATTAGTGTCTCTTACACATGAGATCTCTTTCAAACACTTGAAGGTAGTTATCATGTCTTCCCTAATAGTACTCCTCTGCAGGCTAAACATTCCCAGTTCCTCCAATTAATGCTCATATGGGAAGAACTGAAGGCTTTTCACTATCCTGGTTGCCCTTGCCTGGAGCGTTCTCCCTAAAACATAGTGCCCAGGGGCAGCTAGGTGGAGCAGTGGATAGAGCACCAGCCCTGGATTCAGGAGGACCTGAGTTCAAATCCGGCCTCAGACACATAACACTTACTAGCTGTGTGACCTTGGGCAAGTCACTTAACCCCATTGCCTAACCACTCCCCCCCCCAAATGTATGTATGTACACACACACACACAAACAATATAGTGCCCAGAATGGAAAGCTACTCCAGATATATTCTAATTGGCGCTGTGGCCAATTGAGCCTCCTGATTTCCTGGAAGCTGGGCTTCTCCTAGCACAGTAGCCCAAGAGTACATGAGCTTTCTGGGCTACCACATAACATTTCTAACTAATACTGAGCTGACAATCCACCAAAACTCCCAGAGCTTTTCAGATTACCATGTCTCCTCCACTTTGTACCCCTCAGAAAGTGCAGTGGGTAAAAGCCCTGAATTCACATCTAGCCTCAGACACTTACTTAGCTATGTCACCCTGGGCAAGTCACTTAATTTCTGTCTGCCTACTTTTCTCATCTTGTAAAATGGGCACCTACCTCACAGTGTTCTGGTGAGGATCAAATGAGATGACATATAAACAGTGATTTCTAAATCATTAAGTAGCATTCTACAAATGCTAGCTAGTATTATTATTACTATCCTGATTAAATCCAGCTTACTTTTCTACCCTGTCAAGATCTTTTTGGATTCCCACTCAGTCACCCAGTATATTAGTGATTCTTTCCAGTTTGTGTTAGCTGCAAAGTGATTAAATTGCCAAAGGGCTAAGGGCTGGCTCTTCACTCTTACCATCTTTATCAGGGACCTCAGCACAGATCCCTGTGGCACTCTCCTGAGACCTCCTTCTAAGCTGACATGAATAACTACTCTCTGGATCTGGCCATTTACCCCTTCTAAATCTATGGAACAATACTCTTAATCCAGTCATACAGTCATCTCACAACAATAGCAAGTGAGTGGGATTTATACCAGGAATGTGGGGATGGTTTAAAAAACTATTAGGAAAACTATTAACCTAATTAATTATACCAACAACAAAAGTAACAAAAATTATATGATTATATCAATAGATGCAGAAAAAGCTTTTGACAAAATACAACTTACATTAAAAACACTAGCAAGCATAGGTATAAATGGATTTTTCCTTAAAATGATAAGAAGCATCTACCTAAAACCATCAGTTAGCATTATTTGTAATGGGAATAAGCTAGAAGCCTTTCCAATAAGATCAGAAGTGAAACAAGGATACCCATTATCACCTATATTATTCAATACTGTATTAGAAATGCTAGCAATAATAATAAGAGAAGAAAAACAAACTGAAGAAATTAAAATAGGCAATGAGAGAATAAAACTATCTTTTTGCAGGAAAATCCTAGAGATTCAACTAACTAGTTGAAACAATAATTTTAGCATTAAAGTAGCAGGATATAAAATAAACCCACAAAAATCATCACCATTTCTGCAAGAAGAGACAGTAAGAGATATACCATTTAAAATAACTGCAGACAGCATAAAATACCTGGGAGTATACCTGCTAAGACAAACCCAGGAACTTCATAAACAATTATAAAACATTTTTATACAAATAAAGTCAGATTTAAATAAATGGAGAAATATTAATTTCTCTACTTAAAGTAATCTACTTATTCAATGCCGCCCCAATTAAATTACCAAAAAACTATTTTATTGAGCTAGGAAAAATAACAACAAAATTCATTTGGAAAAACAAAAAGTCAAGAATATCCAAGAAACTAATGAAAAAAATGTAAAGGAAGGCGGTTTAGCAGTACCAGATCTTAAACTATTATAAGGTGGTAATTATAAAACTATCTGGTACTGGCTAAGAAATAGAAAGGTGGAACAGTGGAACAGAGTAGGCATAAAATACACAGTAGTAAATGATTATAGTAACCTTGTGTTTGACAAATGTAAAGATTCAAGCTTTGGGGATGAAAATTCACTGTTTAGTAAAAATTGCTGGGAAAAATGGAAAGCAGTCTGGCAGAAATTAGGTATAGACCAGTATCTTTTTTTTTTTTTTTTGCAGCTGGGGTTAAGTGACTTGCCCAGGGTCACACAGCTAGTTGGTGTCAAGCCTGAGGCCGGATTCGAACTCAGGTCCTCCTGACTTCAGGGCCGGTACTCTGTCCACTGCACCACCTAGCTGCCCCCTATAGACCAATATCTTAAAACCATTTACTAAGATAAGGTCAAAATGTATACATGACCTAGATATAAAGGGAGAGATCATAAGTAAATTAGAAGAACATGGAACATATTATCTATCAGACTTATGGATAGAAGAATTTACAAATAAACAAGAGATAGAGAACACTGTGAGATGTAAAATGGATAATTCTGATTATGTTAAATTAAAAAGGTTTTGTACAAATAAAACCAATGTAGCCAAGATTAAAAGGAAAACAGAAAAATGGGAAAACATTTTGATAGACGGTTTCTTGGACAAAGGATCATATCTCAAATATAGAGAACTTCTGTCAAATTTATAAGAATGAATCATTCCCTGATTGATAAATGGTCAAAGGATATGAACAGGCAAATCAAAACTAAATATATATATATATGCACATACATGTGTATGTGTATATATATATATATATATAAATGTGTGTGTGTGTATAGTCATGTGAAAAAATATTCTAAATCATTACTGATTAGAGAAGTACAAATTAAAACAACTTTGAGATATCATCTCACACCTATCAGATTGGCTAAAATTATAGAAGGGAAAAATGACAAATGTTGGAGGGGATGTGGAAAAACTGAAACACATACAACTGTTAGTGAAATTGTGAAGTGATCTAACCATTTTGGAGAGCAATTTGGAATTATGTCTAAAGAGTTATAAAACTATGTACATACCCATTGACTCAGTAATACCACTAGTGGATCTATTTCCCAAGGTGATGAGGGAAAAAGGAAAAGAACCTATGTGTTCTAAAATATTTATAGCAACTCATTTTGTAGTGTCAAAGAACTGGACATGGAAGGGATGTCCATTAATTGGGGAATGGCTGTACAAATTGTGGTATATGATTGTGAAGGAATACTGGTGTGCTATAAAAATGATGAGCAGGTTGATTTTTAGAAAAACATGCAAAGACTTGCATGAAATAATGAAGAGTGAAATGAGCAGAAGCAAGAGAATATTATAAACAGTAATAGCAATGCTGTTCAAAGAATAACTGTGAACAGTTAAGCTATTTTGAGTATTATAAATATTCAAATCAACTACAAAGGACCTATGAAGTAAGATGCTATCCACCTCCAGAGAAAGAACACACACACACATACACACCCCTCTGTGTCAAATGGTGGCCTTCTCTAGTGCAGAGTGGGGAGGGAGACAGTTTGGAACTTAAAATGTAACAAAATAAATTTAATTTAATTTAAAAATTAGCAAGTGAGACTGGATCAAAAGCTTGACTAAACTCTACCTCATCAACATGTACAGCATCCCTGGGCCAACAGTTTGATGAAACAAGGAAGCAAGCCTGCAACGACCTATTCTTGAAGAAGCCGTGCTGGTTCTTTGTCACTGCTTCCTTTTCTGGCTGCTCGCTGGCTGTTTCTTCAATAATCAATTTCCAGGAATCAAAGTCAAGCTGTTATATGATACTACTGACTTAGAATACACTAAACCTCTCAGATTCTGCCTCCCCTTGCCTTATATTTGAGAATCCAAGTGTAAGACTTTCATTTAGCCGTATATCAAATTTCATCTTCTTGGATCTGGCCCAATCTAGAATTTTAGCTAATTCAGATCTTTTCATGTGTTGGTGATACCTCCCAGCAAATGTGCTCCCATCGACCCACAAATCTCTGCCCAGCATCCAAGTTACTGACAAAAATAAGAAATAGCAAGGCCAAGCACACATCCTTTAGGCACTCCACTGAAGATGGTCTTCCAAAATGAGATTGAGTATATACTAGCCTCTTTTGAGTCCAGCCTTACCTTTCAACTAGTTCCAAGTCTACATAATTGTATAATTATCTAACCCACCTCCCTCCATGTCTTCCACAGGGACAGCAGGAAAGATTTGAACAAGTTTCCAGGAATAGAAAGGATAGGGATGCAATATCTTACATTCTCTCTGTGGTATCTAGAATTTGTAAAACTGCTTCAAGTCTTTTATTTATTTATTTGTTCATTCATTCATTTAAACAAAGCACCATTTGCAGTGTGGAAAGTGGAGGCAAATTCATTTCATTTTCCCTTCTGGAACCTAGAGAAACAACGGGCAAACACAGACCCTCACCAGCTGCCCTCTTTGGCTTTCAGCTACATGAAAGTCCACTTCATATGTAAGCATCCTCTGAGAAAAGTTCTCCGCTTTTAGTTATAGACTCACGCAAGTGTATGTATTCATTAAAGCCTACCAGTCTGCAAAGGATAGTCATTAATTGAAGGCATGGGTTTGTGTTGCATAGGCCTTAGGTACTAGGCAGCAAATTAGGAAACTGTACTTAAAGTCAACATTTCTGTT